GACCGCCCGCGTGGATCTTTTAAAAATATGCCTGAATGCCTATTATAAGGACGGATTTCTTGATATTACTTTCTGAGGACGCAAGCGTGGATTTATAAATTATATTTTCTGAAGCCTGAATTTAAAAAAAAAATATATGTGTGTTTTGACATTTGTAGGTTTAGGAATATATTACAAGTCCTACAGCAAAAGCGTGGATTTTGTAAGAATATTTTTAATGCCAATCTGATCCAGAAACGTGGATTTTTAAATTATTTTTTTCTCAATGTCAATCTGGGCCAGAAGCGTCAATGTTTTAAAAATATTTTCTGTAACCCTTTCTGAGCCATAAGCGTGATTTTTTTATCATAGCCATAGGTATGATTTTTATACCCTACATAATTATGATTTCGGGGTATTACAGCTTTGTGCAGCCACAAGTGTTTGTAACGCCCCGAAATATTGGTCCTAGACCCACATTTAAGTATACCGATCGTCATATCTCGACTAGCTGAGTAGATCTAGACATGTGTGTTCATCCGTCCATCTGTCTCTTATAATTTGCAAACACGATACAACCCACAGTTAATATTTAGGGGATAAAATTGGCCAACAACTTTATTTTTGTTTGTTTTTCAGGTCGCAGTAGAGGCCGCAATTATGACCCGAACACCACGAAATTTTAACCAAGAATGGAATCTGACCAGACTTTTCTTTGAAAAATTAAAAAAATTGTATTCTGTGGTTTACTGCTGAAGGACATAGATCTGAGAAGTTGATAGTATATCCAAGAGGAGTAGTAGACCTTCAATATATACCTATTATATTGTTGTATGTACTCGGATGTGAGAGTCACACATAAATATTTACAGGTGCTTACGTATTCAGATGTTATTTAGAAACCCCATACCGCACTAGAGGGCGGAAATATAGCGCTGATCGCTTTGAAATGTTCAATGAGGTTCCAGTTACGGTCAAGAACAACGCCTGCTATTTTCGGTAATGATCAGATAATAATTTTGGGATGTAATGGACCAAAACCCTATTTTTTCTGTTTTTTTTTCGAGTCGATCTATAGGCCACAATTATAATCCAAACATCACAACACAACCCACGGCGAAGGGAATATGGACAATTAATTAGAACGAATGTACAGAACATTAGTAATATTCGGAAAATATGTCAGTGTAAGGAAGAGGTGCTGTTGACTTCTAATAGGGCAAGAGTGTAAAATATTGCACAGGCAAGGAATAAAAATCCGCAGAAAGTTAGAGTTCCGTGGTAGTTGTGTAGGGTATCCCCGTCCGACTATATTGCTCCGCTCACTGGTTTTAATATTACATTCTTAGCACATATTTGTATATTTAGGAATATTTTCTGAAGTCTTATTAACGGCAGAAGCGTGGATTTTCTAAGATGATTTTTAATGCCTTTTCGGGGTTTTAGAGCTTTGTGCAGTCCCAAGAGTTTCTAATGTCCCGAAATATTAGTCCAAGACCCACATTTAAGTTACCGATCGTCATATCTCGACTAGCTGAGCAGATCTAGATGGGTTAATATTTAGGGGATAAAATTTAACAAAAACGTTATTTTTGTATTTTTTTATGGTCGCCAAAATTATGACCCAAAATTTTACACCAGGAAGGGAATCTGGCCAAAGAAGAAGATTGACTCTTTTAATGAAGATCGAACATTATTTAGCGGGTCAAATGAACCCAGACTTTTGTGTGAAAAATTACAAAATTTGTATTCTGGAGCGTATATATTTACTGCTGAAGGACATAGATTCGGAATGTTTCAAGAAGAGTATTACTATCTCGCTGATCGCTTAGACATTTCACATGAAGTTTCAGTTATGGTTAAGGACGACGCATATAATTGTCGATGATGTAGATATGATATTTTGGGGGTGCAATGAACCGAAACAAATTTCTAGTCCCCCTAGAGGTCATTATTATATGCAGAACATCTCATATATTTTACACGGAGAAGGGGATCTTTCCTAATACTTAGAAGGGCTGCTTAGATGATGATCGGTCAATATTCCAAGAGTCAAATCAACCAAAACCCTGAAGTTACCAAATTTTTATTATATGGCCAGGATTTATGCCAGTACTAGAAAGTGAAGCTGTTGACCTATAATCGGTGAAAAATGTGCAAATGTCGCGGAGTATTGCCCAGGCTCAGAATATAGAACCGTAGAAAGTTACATGTTCTTGGTAGTTGTGTAGGGTATCATATGGTCGGCCCCGGCCGACTTTACTGCTCCGCTCACTGGTCGCTACTTGGAAAAGAAAGTCCTACCCATATTTTTCCATTCGGATTGGTCCATACTTTTGATTTTCGATTTTCAATAGTTATGTGCACTCCTTTCTAAAAATGTTTAGAAAGTTGTTCACGATTTGAATAAATTTGTAGGAAATTGCAATTGTATCAATATATGTGGTCCATTGAAAAATTCCTTAGTTCGATACATAGATGGCGCTGCTAGAATTAAATTTATATTGCATTTAGTTAGCTATAAAATTTATAAGATCCGTCATTTGACCGTTATAGGGGCAAAATCGATGAAAAACTGACGGATTTAAAGAATGATGAATTAAATAAATGACAAATACAATGGCGATCAAAAATCCATTTTTTGTCTTTCAAAATTGCTTCCGTACCATTTCTCTTATGCACTTTTTTGAATAGCAAAAAGTATATTTTTATTATTTTGAAATAAAACACAATTTAATTGATTTTTATGGTTTTTTATTTAGGTTGTTTTTGCATTATAAGTAGGTAATTTTAAATGATGTTTTTATTATTACAATTATTATTATTTATTTTTAAATACGAATTTGAAGGCTATATTTATTATTTATAATCAAATTATAAATACAACAACAGAGGAGGTGGAAGTGATCGGGAAAATAAAAGAAATAGACATAGGAGAGGTTGGAGAAGGATGTTGCTACTTTTTTCTTAAACAAACAAAAAATTTACAAAAAAAACTAACATTAAAATTATTGCGAAAAACTGGCAGCACACTTTAAATGTGGAACCAGTCACAGGGGACTATAACTATTTATTTTTTATATAGGAAAGAAAATATATTTTTTTAAAACTATTAAATTAATTTTTTTAAAAATAATAATTAGTTGGTTTTTATATTTTTTATTGCTTTTTTGTTTTGTTTCTTGTTGTTGTTTTTGTTTTTTGTGATAATAATGCTGATAATTACAATTAAATGCTTACAAATTAATAAAAAATATTTTTTTAATTTTTTTGTATTTTTTTTTATTTTTATTTTTTATTTCTAAGATATCTTAAAAATTAATTTAGTTAATGAAATGTGAAGAATAAGAAAGTAGGAAAGAAAGTAACATAATTTTAAAGGAACCTTAGGAATGTTTTGAAAAGTTAAAAAAAATAAAAAGAGATAGAGAGAGGAATTATGGTAAAAATTATAGCTAAAAGTTATAGTAATAATAATAACAGTAATACTTGTATTTCATGTTGTTTTTTTTTTTCATTTATTTTAAATTAAACAATAAATTGTGGGGTGTAGTTATTGTGGTTTTTTATAAAAACACTCATATGTAAGGCAAGTTTTTTTTTTTCATTTGTGTCGGCAAGATATTTTTTATTGTTTAGGTGGGATTGGTGTTGATGCTGCAAGGAGGGCGGTTGTTTTAAAGTTCTGGATCGTTGGATTTTGGTTTCCCCCTTTATTTTATGGATGTATGGTTCTGTAATTCGTAGAAAAAAAAAATATTGGAAATATTTTTTTTATTAGATGAGAGATGTCTGGGTTTTTGATTGTTTTTGTTTTTTTTTTCTATCGTGTTTTGATGTCTGTTTGGATTTTATAAAATGCGCCTGCGCATTTCATGTTTCTAATATTTGTTTTTAGTTTGGATTTTTTCAAATTCAATTTTTTTTCATATAGAAAAAATATTTGTGTTTCTACGGTATTTGATCCTGCTTCCAAATTTGTTAGCTCTTACTTTAGCAATACTCAAAAATTGGGTATTCAAAGAAAAGCTTCACAGATCTATTTACGTGGGTGGTATGTGTGTGTATCTATCCAGCCAGTATTTACATAGGTGTGTGTGTTTGAGTGTGTGTATGTGTGTGCGCCATAAACCATAAATAAACATCCATAAAATACATAGCTCGAAAACCAAAAATTTCTTAAACGATGAACTCCATAACCATAGTTGAATGGAGTGGTGATGGTGTATCTGTGTTTCTTTTCATGGTGGCATCAATGTCATCAATTTATTGCTATTGTTGTTGTTGGTCATTGTTATTGTTGGCAACCCATCACCTCCAAAACTACAGCACAATACACCCACTTGTGTATCTTTCATTTATGGTCCCAAAATAAAGTTTTGGATTTCATCATCGGCATCATAGCCCAGCCAGCCAGCGCATCCACAAAAGCGTTTTGTGAAAGTGAGAAAAAATGGTAAAGTAGCTCATCTTTGATAATCCAACAAACCTACATACACACATATGTAGATGACGATGTTGATCTAGGAGAAATCATTAAAGAGCCACCATATGGTATTCGGATGATCCAACGATGACTCCATCACAATTACGTAGGAGAGGTAGTAGTAGAAAGTAATACCAGAAGAAGAGACAGAAGGCCAGTAAAGATGACGATGATGATCATGATGGTGTTTGTGATGACACTACTCTTAAGGAGACTACTTGGATGGCATAGTTGTGTTGTTGCTATTTCTATTTTACATAATAATTATTACACATTTTCTGTTATTGTTGTTGCTCTCTACATATAGGTGTGTGATTGTGATGTGTGTAGTGTGATGGTAGATGATTTTGGTTGCTTGGTGGGTGGATGCATATTGTTGTTGTTGATGTTGCGTGCATGGTGATATTTTATTTTAGAGCTGTTGCTGCTACATATTATTTTTTCCATTTGTTTTAATTAATTTATTATACTTTTTTTATATATATAATATGTATGTTTTATGTATATATAAAAAAATTGGTGCTTTACATAATATATATAGTGGATATTTATCGCCAGACACACTGACTACATCTAAAAAGGAAAGAAAAAAAACCAAGAAAAGAAATAGAGATTAGAAATATTGCAAATAACCCAAATGTATTATAAATACATTTATAATAATAGTAATAATAATAATTTACAGCTTATTGTCTAAGAAAAACTACAATAAATATTTAAAAACTAATAATACAATAAATTCCGCTTAATTCAGAGGTGCAGTCAACCAACACCTTGGCGACAAAATTTTTTACATATCATTAAATGACAAAAAAAAAATGTTAGCCTGTAAAAAATAATAGATTAGGCTTCGAACCCAATTTTTGGACCTATTAATTATAACAGCGTTATAATTAATAAATGGCGGTTTAATCCGAAGACTGATGTCAGACGAAACATTTTCCCGTTGACACTAAAGAACCCTTAAGACTAGTTTTAAACATTGAAAAGAGGTTTCTCAGCTTCCTTGCAGTTAAGATTTTAATGGCATGAAGTGGAAAAGTAAGTCAAATGGACCCCTGTATCGATAATTTGCCAATTAACCTAATTTCGGATACTCTAAGAGATCTTGCAGAGAATTTGGGATTTTGGGGCCTATTTTAATATTTTTTCGGTTACATTTTTAAGATGAGAAGTAATGCACAGAACATTTCGAAACAGTTGAATTTTCAACAAAATTCTTTCTCCAATTTTTATACAAAATCTTGTCACTTCGTGAAATTGTCGTATAATTTGATGTCCTATCAGCTCTATTCAGGTGTATTTTTTTTTAAATTAAAAGGAGTTAACATTTGTTTAAATTTCAACAAAAAATCGTTTTGAAATTTCAACATTTTCGTTAGGGTTGTGCCGAAGAACATTTTATTTTATTTGCGATTTTTTTTTATTTTTTACATCTATGGACGTTAAATGACTAAAAACAACTATGAAAATATTTTTGTTGAAAATTCAACACTTTTTTAATTTTTTGCTCAGAAAGGTTTCTCAGAACGAGATTTCTGGCAGATATTCACTACTCATTTTTCCTGAACTGAATTTTATTGACCCAAGAACGTTGAAGCAAAAATATTTGTTTAAATTTCAACAAAATTTGTAGACATTCTTTTATCGTATAATTTTAAATGATGATATACTGAGAGATATAGAGTTTTGCGCTGCTATACATTCTGATTTAGTTACACCTCAACTAACAAAATTACAAAAAATACTTGTTGAATTTTCAACAATTTTGTTTAATCATTATTATTATTATTTTTTTTAAGGTTATACTTCTCTGTTCTCAATTCTGATTTTTTTGATGGCCAGATTTTTTATATTCAACAATTATATATTACAAAAATATAATTGTTGAATATTCAACAACTTTTTTGTCGAACTTTTGTTATATTGAAATTATTCCAAGGACGAGACCACTATCTGCTTTGCAGTTTCACTCTTTTTTAAGAACAAATCCTATTATAGCTGAGAAATATTCCTCAAATATTTGTTTAAATTTCAACATTTCTTGATTTTTTTATTAAGAAAATCGAAAGGTTTTTCTTAAAAATTTACCTAAAACTTTAAGCGAAAGATATGGATTTCATCTGCGTTGAATGTTCAGCTTTTTAAGTCTCTTTTTTTAAATGTAGTGGCTTTAATTTGTTGACTTATTTCAAATCTAGAATTTTTCAGTATCAGAAGTGAATTGTGGAAAAATTTAAATCCGCAATACATTTTTTGTTGAAATTTCTGTATTTTTTTTCCTAGAGGAAAAGCTTGTTGGGAGTTATGGAAAAATATATCGATGCCTACTTGGAAAACCTAATCGCTTTTACAACTTTATTAAGAAATCAGGTCATTTGTTTTGTAAAAATATTTGGAAATATTAAATGACTTTACAAGCAACAAATGAAGCTTGACCATCTTGGCTTAGAAAATATTCTGAAATAAGTCAAGATGGTCAAGCAATTAATTCACCTCAGGATATGTGACTCCTTTTCGAGATATTTTTTAATGATTCATTCAATGATAATTTACAGAATAATGCCAAGAAATCAGGACGTGATTTCTAAATTTCAGGAACGGAAAATTGTCATGCAGACACATTTGCAGCTGTCAATTGTTTGAGAAACTTCAAGAGGAAATTGAATAGATTTTTGAAGCAACAGAAGACTTTTTTTCCACACGCAACGGAAAGAGTAGCCCGTAGAGGTCTTGTTTTGTAAAGACTTTCGGATGCTCTACCAAAAAATGCTCTACCAAATAAATCTGTTTTTATAAACTCCAGGAGCAAGAAGGCAGCTCAGGAAATAAGGCACATTTCACCATCTTCACGGAGAAAAAATTCCCCAATCTCTCGAAGTAAAGAGTAGCTCACGAAGCCCTGTTTCAAATTACTTTGCCACATATATCCATCTTCACACTTTCATGGAGCAAAAATTGGCCCAAACGTATTGTCTTTTTTTCGCAAAGATCGTGAACAACAGGAAACCTCAGTAATTGTGGATTGTCTATAGCTTTTGGATGAAAATAAGAACTCCAATTTAGGGGAACCGGAATAATTTTCATGTTTCCAAAATTCCATTTTAAACTTTAGAAGATGTGTGTCCAAGAAAATGTTTCGTCTTTTATAAAGGCCAAGAGCAATCGATGATCGCCCAAAATGTGGATTTTTCATTTGATTTAATAACAATGAAACAGTTCGGAATATTCCAAGGGACGTTATAACTTTTATAAATGCTCACACGTTATCTCAAGAGAACTATATACTTAGAAATTTAATTTTATTTGGGGACCTCTGAGAGGTCTAAAGCCTCACGGAACTCCCAAATATATTGGCTTCTAATAAGAAATCAAAAGCAATAGAAATGTTCTCATTGTTCGTACTTTTGATGCATGAATTTTCAAGAGAAGGCCAATTTTCTTCTTTCTCCCCAAAAACTTATACTTTTGTCACTTTTTGTCTCAATTTTGTCTAATTCTAAATTAAAATAATTTATAATTTTTTTGTTTTTTTTTCTCAAAACTTACCTGTGCTGTCTCAGATTATCACGTTGCTTAAAATATTTGCCGCACACTTCGCAGGAATAGGTGATCTCGGGCGATTTGTGGGTACGTTCGTGGATCATTAGATTATAGGGTTTGGTGAAACGCCGCTGGCAATACTTGCAAATGAACTCACACTTCGGACGCATCTTGCGACGAAAGTCCGACCGGCAGTCATCATTGTCGATTCTCATTACAGCGAACATGGTGGTGGCTTTGTTTGTTTGCTTGTCGACTGGCTTCTTTGTTGTTGGTTTAACGTTTTATTTTGTTCTGTTGTTGTTGTTGTTTGTGTGGTTGATTAAAAGCTATCGCACACACACGCACAAACACACTCTCAATAATAATAAATAAAAGCAAACCAAAAATGTCACTTGCAATTAAAAATAAAGAGCAGTCAGTCAGCTGTGTGTACTCTCTTTCCTATGGAGGGGGGGATTTGTTGATTAACGGCTAAGCTCTGTATGTATGGCTATGTGTGTGAGTACTCTTTGAGAGTAATTGAGTAATTTCAGTTCACAATTGTTGTTCTTTATTTTTTTGTCATGCAATCATGAAAATGTGTAGTACACTGGCGTTGTTGTTGTTTGAGATAAGAACACTGTTTACGCTTGGAGCAGAGTGTTTTTTTCGGGGTGGTGGGGATAATGAGTATGGGGGGAAATCGTTGTTATTTCGTATTTATTCCACTCAAAAAGACGGAACAATTTTTATTATTATCGTTTGTCGGCAACGATAGCGGCGGCGTCGTTCACTTCACGTTAATCTCCTCGTGTTTGTTCTACTAAGTTGTCCAGCAAAATGATATGCGGTTTATGGCTTGGCTTCCACCGCAATGATTGGCCACGATCCAATTGTTCCAAGTGGTGTATGTGTGTGTGGTTTACAATCAACAATTTGTTTTTCTTTTTTTGTGGTGTTAGAAAATATTTCTATTTTTTCGTCTTTCCTTGTGGTTAAGTTTTATATTTTTTCTTAAAGACGACGATTTTTTTTTATTTTTCGTTCGGGCAACGCAGAGAGATAACAAGCGCGTTATGCAGCAGCTGCTGACAGACTGATGTGTTACTTCAAATGGTGATTTAAACACCTTTATTTTGTACTTTTTTTCTTCGGGTGTTTTGGTGGTGGGTTTCACACACAAAATCGTGTTGTTGGCGTTGTTGTTGGTGGCGAGGGTATTTCTATGGCCGTTATGGCGTTTCGAATGTTTTTGTCGATTTTTTCTTTCTTTTACTCCAATGTGGCGGAGGCGGCAGTGGTGGTGGTTGCTCTTTTTCTTGTTGGTGGTTGTTTGTGGTTTTATCTATCGTTGTTGTTGCTATTGTCACCGTCTTGTGGAAGATCGTTTTCAATTTATAGAAATGTTTATTATTGGTTATGGTGTCGAATGTGGGCGTATTTCGAAATGCTCTATTTTAAACACTCCAAAAGATATTTCACTTCTATTATTTGATTGGTGGTGGTGGTACGTTGAATCGAAAATTCATTCAGGTTTTTATGTAGACAGACATCAATAGTGATCTTGTTCAGTTTTGTTGGTTTTTCTGAAAAGAAAACAATACAAAAGAAACACAAGGTTTTTTTATTAAAAAATTCCAGTAAATCATTAGATAGGTGTTTTTTTCTTAATGAATTTGATGCAGCATTTTGGTTTTGAGCCACTGAATTTATATTGTATTAAGATTTTTCCAAAAATAAATGCATTTTGTTGGTTTTCTTTTTTGGAGAGTTTCAAAGCAATATAAGAAAATAATATAAAAAATAATAAAATAAAATAATTGTGAAAATATGAAAAAATACTTTCATTTTTTATATAAATTCTTAAAAGTTATTTCGAAATACTTGAATATCATATACACTTTTCATAGAAACGTACTTAAAATTCGGATAATTTTCAAAAAAATATATTGAAATCTTTCTTTGAAGACATGTCGATGTACCTTAATAAGTTATAATTATTATAGTAAAAACGGAAGGAGAATTTAATCCTTAAATTATGGTTACTTTTGACACTGAACGTATCATTAATTTTATTCCGGAACATTGAAAGTATGTAAAATAATCAGAGGTATAATAATTACGATTTAGTCCTTATTATGTTAAGTGTGCAAAGACCCCCTTTAAAGAAAAAAGAACTCAAATGTGATTTCATGGTAATATGTCCTGAGTAATAAAAACAATCGACGAAAAACTTGTAGAATCTTGGTTCCGACATAATGGAATCGTGATCTTTGATATTAATTTTAGATGGAATCGTTATTCTGAAAAAGACTTATATTTAAACCAAGAGAAATTGTAGAACATTTTTATGCTGCAATGGATCTCAGCTCAATATCAATTGGAGCTGTTACAAATGTCCACTTAATACTCACTTCTTCTGGGGAGTTGAAAAAATTTATAAATCCAGAGCATGGAAAAATATTTTTTTAAGTAAATATTCAGGACATTTATAAGATTTATCCGTAATCCCAATTAACAAATTCTTGGTCCATGGGAATTTTTTTTATTAATATTTTAGAATATTAATAAAAATATTATATCCACAAAATAAGATTACTTATTCTTAATCAATAAATTTTGTGTGAGAAATGTCCACAGACAATAATGATTATTAAGTAATCCATATGAATCATTTCCCTATTTATAATATCGTAGTGTTCATTTCATAAGTGTGGTCTGTAAATCGATTAGATGAAACTGTGTTGGTCCATTTGGTCTTCGGTACTTTAAAGAATATCTTCCATGAATCCTCATCAGCCCTAAGTGAGGATTTTTAAAGAAATATTTTTAAGAATTATTATCAACCACATATAAAATTTGAAAATACTATTAAATTCTAAATCCATGCTCATGAAAGTTAATTATTGTCAATTATTTTTATGTGATTAACCTTTTCTATAAATAAAATTATATCCTAGACGCTTATATAATTTTCAAAATATTTCTTTTTTTCTTAATTTCCAAAAAAATAATTGTCGAGGAGATATCAGAAGGAATGAATCAATAGTCTTCATATAGAAATACTCTAAAAATTGATTTTATTATCATAATTTGTCATTTTGTTTGCAACTACTCAAAATATTAACGGGAGATCCCATGAAGATGTCGATTAAACAATTCCCGTCAGTCTATTGAAATCACAATAGAGCTATACAAATTTGCTCATACATACCACTGAATTTTCAGTAATTTGGTATTATAGGTACTGATTGGGTTGCAAATGTTTCGACTAAAAATTACCAATATTGGTCCCTTTTTAGTGTAGCCACCATAAAACAGTTAAGACGAAATTTGATAAGAAATGGTAGAAAATCCCTCTACCACAAATTTTCAACATAAGCTCCTAATTATTAGGTATTTAGTGCACGTTTTTAAAAATAAAATGGGCTCTAACATCATTCTAATTAAAGTGGTGATGCCAAATGTTCCTACCAATATAAAAGTAGTGGAGAATTTGGCACTCTGTGTGTCTGTGGAGTGGGGAATTTCGTTTTCTCCTGATTAAAAGGGACACCTGCACCCCATCCCAATACTCGGTATCAAAAAATACTTTTTTTTTGTTATTATACCCTACACCACTATGTTGTCCGGGTAATATAGCTTTGTGTGGCCCATAAGCTTGTAATGGTGAAATATTGGTCCTAAACCCACAGTTTAAGAATACCAATCGTAATATCTCGATTGGTATATTAGCCATGTTTGTTCGTCCATCTGTCCATTATAATTTGTAAATACGATACGATATGACATTGTTTTTGGTAATGATCCGCCAACATTTAGGTGATAAAATGGACCAAAAACTTTATTTTTTTTCTCTAGAAGCCACAATTATGACCCGAACCAAGCAGTTTCACACCAGGAAGGACGTGTGGCCACACAATACAGATCGATCAATATTTAGCGAGTCAAATGGACCCAGACTTTTGTTTGAAAATGTACTCCTGAAGGTTGACCTTTAAATTGATACCAATAACTTATATGTACTCGCATGTCGGAGTTATACATAAATATTTAAAGGTGTGTGTGTGTTATTATATTGTTTAGTATTACCAATACCCCACTAGAGGACGGAAATGTCGCGCTAATCGCTTTGAAATTGTATATGATGTTGCGGTAAGGGTCAACGACGACTCCTATAATTTTCGGTAATGTTGAGATGATGATATAAAGTGGGTGCCATTAACCGAAAACTTTATTTTTCTTAGATTTTCTTGTCGCTCTAAAGGATCTGACCAAATGCCGAACATCACATATTTTACACGGTGAAGGGGATGTGACTAAATATTTAGAACGTCTGTATAGATGATTATTGGTCAATATTCCCAGGGTCAAATCAACCAAAACCTAAAGTCACCAAAAAAACAAAAAAAAAAATTTGTAAAAAAAGGGCAGGGTTAGAAAGTGAAGCTGTTGACCTACAATCGGTCAAGAGGGTGCAAATACCACTACAGATTTGCCAGGCTCAGAATATAAAACCGTTAATTAGAAGTTAGATTAGTTGTGTATGATATCATATGGACGGCCCCGTACAACTACACTGTTCCGCTCACGGATTTTTGTATAAGTAGTTTATTTTGAAAGTGGTTAAAGTCAATTTTTTCTTATATTAAAAATTTTAAACGACTCAGATAAATAGCAGACATTTTAAGCAATTACAAAAAAATAATATTTATTTAATGTATTTTTGTATTTTTTGTGAAATAATTTTCTTATTTATTTAAAGAGAATTTCATTTCCTCACATTCTTTAAATGTTATTTTTCAATATTTTGATTTTTTTATATATATTTTTTCATCTAATTTATTCAGTTTATTTTCCTCATTTTATATATTTTTTTCTCTTCCTTGTCATTAAATAACCAAAATATTGAAATCACCTTTAAAAAAAAAATTAAAACATTTATGACCCTTGTCCCGATATAAAATTACCACAATTTATTTGATAATATTTTAAAAAAAATTGGGTACCGATTACAAAACAGGAAGCAAAGCTGACCACTGTTTGTCAGATCCCTCTTTTCATAAGGGATATTTTTTGTTGGGATATTTCTCAGGCAAGGCAGTATTGCGACTGTAAATTGAACATTAATCAATTGTAATTAATCTTGATGTGATTTTTGTTTCACATTAACAGCAACCGCTGTGGCCACTGGTTTATTTCTGTGGAGTGCGGGAGAAATTCCAAGAATTTTATTTATGCAACCAAAAATACCAAACGATTGCTTGCTGTGAGGCTTAATCATCGCATT